TTAAAGGTAAGGATAAGTGTAAGGGTAAAGGGTAAGGGTAAGGGTAAGACATAAGACTGGGAATCGGGCGCGAATCATCAGGTGTACCTCTTGGTAGGGAGGGGCAGAGGTAGGGTGAGGGGCCGGGGTTAGGGCAAGGGTGGTGGCAGGGATAGAGGCAAGGATAGGGACAGGGATATAGGCCAGGGCAAGGGTAAGGGCAGGGTCAGGGATATAGGCAAGGGCAAGGGTAAGGGCAGGGGCAGGGATATAGGCAAGGGTAAGGGCTGGTGCAGGGATATGGGCAAGGGCAAGGGTGGCAGGGGGGCAGGGATATGGCAAGGTAAGGGCAGGGGCAGAGATATAGGCAAGGGCAGGGATAGGAACAGGGTTTGGGTATGGGCAAGGACGGATATAGGCAAGGGCAAGGGGCAGGGATATAGGCAAGGGTAAGGGCAGGGGCAGGGATATAGGCAAGGGCAGGGGCAGGGATATAGGCAAGGGCAGGGATTGGAACAGGGTTTGGGTATGGGCGGGGCATCGGCAAGGGTACAAGGGTAAGGGCAAATTGCGGGGATGGGAGACAGAGGATAGGAGCTGAAGAGTAGGCGGCGAGGGATGGGTTGGGGCTTGGGGTCAGCAGAGGAAGAGGGGTTGAGTGGGGGGGGGGTACAGCAGAGGAAAGAGGGTTGACTGGGGGGGGATAGGGAGGAGAACATGGTGCATGGGGAATGGGTAGGGATTGGGAGGATTTGGAAGGGGTGGGAGGGGAGGGGGCTTAGAACGAAGGGAGGGGCGGAGGGGGAGGGAGTGAGATGGGGGGCGGGGGTTGGGTTGGTTTGAGGAGCAGGGTGGGGGTGGGGATGGAGGTTGAGGGGCATCAGGTGAACAACTGGAGGCAGTCGAGGCCGACTCATACCATAGTTGATCTCACGCCTGCGCCTCCCCTCACGTGGGGGGTGGGGTGGGGGAGTGGGATGTCAAGGGGTTGTGTGTGTGTGTGTGTGTGTGTGTGTGTGTGTGTGTGTGTGTGTGTAGTGTGTGTGTGCGTGTACTGATCCTGTGTGAGCCGTAAGAATGACCTAATCCCGTCGAATAGATCATGCAGCTGTGCCGTCAAGTGCCTGGTTGAGCAGGAGACACCTGTGCCTGAGAGCGAAAGTGCTCGTTGAGATTCACGGTCGGCAAGGTGTCTTCATCTCGCGATATCGGAGAAAGCCAATAACTAAGCCAAGTTGCGGTTGACCGGGTGCCGCCTGAGCGCTCTCAGAGAATGCAGTTTGGCTGTTGGCTTTCCATCTGGAAGAGTGGACGATGGTCAGCCAGGGTCACCAGCATCGGCAGCGGGGCGTTCGATGAATGAAGAATCACTTACATAATTATCGGTGCTATTCAGGTGCGAGCCGAGATAGGGAGACAAAGCCATAGGGACAGACACCGAAAGACCAAAATCAAGATATAAGAAAAGAAGTCAAGAATGTACGGATGATTGAATGCCAGACCCCGAAGGAAGGGTGATGAGACGGAAGGGCTGGGAAGGGAGGGCAGGCAGGAAGGCCCCAAAGGAATGAGAGAGGGGAGGGAGGATATTGTAGAGTTTGAAAGTGTGAGTGAGATTGAACCCCGGTACGAGAATGCACGTAGGAGTGTGGAGGAGAAAATCGTGGAAGACGGCGCACACAGCGGAATGAGGAAGGGGGGGACGGCGTCGGGACACGGGGACGGAAGAAAAAAACAGAAGGAAGATGAATGTCGGGATGAGAAGAAAAGGAAAAAACGGGAGTTATAGAAAGGCTGCGAGGGACGGAACGTGGGAGGTGAGAACAGGGGAGAGCGTCGGGCAGTGAGCGCGGTGGTGGAAGAAGGGACGCTAAACAGAAGGAAGGGGCCGCCGTAGTCACCGCACAGGAGGGAGCGGGACCGGTAATGGGAAAGGGCGGAACATATGCAGCAAGGGCAGGGGGCGGAAGTTGACAGGCGACGCGGCTCACTGAGGTAAGGAGTGCGGTCCGGATGGCGTTTTCGGGTTCCGGCGGACGAGAACGAGTTTGGCGAGGCGCCACGGGGATAGTTGCAAGGCAGAGAGACGATCGAATTTACGGGAGGGGCAGATTGGAACGTCCGTGAGGAGGTGGGAAGGCTCTGTTCCTCACGGGGGCGAAACGCGGAAAGCTGGAGTATAGGCGCGTTCAGTGGGAAACAACGCGCGGGCCGGGGCATGAAGGGAAGGGAGTGCTCCATGTTATGTGCCCGTTTCCTCGGTACCCTGCGCTGACCACCGCACGCCGCTCGCCGCCGCCAGCTGAGGAACCGCCAGCACGGGGGAACCGCGAGGCAGGTCGGTTTACATTTCGTGGGCGGAGGCCGGGCGGGCGGGCTGTTATTATCATGGTCCTGCTGTTGTTTTAGCTGTTATTCGCTCTCGTTTTCTTTTTATCCTCAATCACCACCTGTCACATTTCCCTTATTGTGTGTTGTAAATAGGCCCTATGTCCATGAAATGTTTCGTTGATTTGTACAAGTCACAGACCGCACTACAAACGCTAATGACCAGCATATTTTCCGTAGTGCCGGCTAAGTCCTAATGTTCCTTTGGTGATATTTTCTTTCTGCCTTTCAGGTGAGTGTCGCGAGCGGGAGCAGGAGCAGGAAGCGGATAGACAGCCGGGCAGATAGACAGAGAGATAGGCAGAAAGATACACAGATTGCCTGGGTGTCGCCGGCCGGAATCCGTGAGCTGTGTTGCGGTGGTGTTCAATCTGTTCATGGTATTAGAGAGAGAGGTGCGGGGGGGTTGGGGTTGGGGGTGGAGTGGGTTCTTGTCTTGTGTGCGCGGGTTATTGTTAGTGAGTGAGTGAGTGAGTTGGTGGGTAGGTAGAAGGAAGCAGAGACACAGGCATAGAGACATAAGGATAGATCAGAAGACACGGATAGGCTGACAGGCAGGGAAACAGACATGTCGCAGACTAACAAACACATTTGATATAAACAGACTAAGAGACTTTGGGTGCCTGAGGACCGTGAGCGTTAGTGTACACGTACGCACGCACACGCACATACACAGATACATGTACATACACATACCATTACATGTACATGCACATACACATGTACATGCACATGCACATGCACATGCACATGCACTTGCACATGCACTTGCACACGCACTTGCACAATGCAATATCAAACATACACATACACATACAACATACACATACACAGAGACCATTTACATACCACTATACTATACAGATACTACACGATACAACATAAGATACATACAGATAACATACAGATACACACAGATACATACAGATACACACACACACACACACACACACACACACACATACATAATACATACATACATACATACATACATACACACACACCACACACCACACACAACACACATACATTACATACATACATTACATACATACATCATACATACACACACATACACACACACACACACACACACACACACACACACACACACACACACACACACACCCACACACACAACCCACACACACACACACACACACACACACACACACACACACACACACACGTATTTTTGGTCTAGTGTAAAGCTCACGTTGCACGTAACATGCTGAGATACATATGATATAAAAAGTATATATCCGATGCGCATTTTTATGTGTATGTGTATGAAATTAATACAGTTATGTGTATTTAAGCGATCTACAGACTGCGCGTGAAGAGAAGATCAAGCAGGGAGGAAGGGGCGCGAGAGTGAAGGGCCGGGAGACGTCGTGTAAGGCCGCCAAGCTTGGATATGGGGAATGCAAGGAAGGGGGTGAGGGGGGGCGGGGGAGGGAGAGGTTGAGTGTAGTGTATAAGGTCATTTTGAGACGGAGATGGGGAGAGGGGAAGAAAAAAAAAAGAGGGGGAGAAGGGAAGGAAGGTAATAAGAAGAGGAGGGAGGGGAAAGAAGAGGATGAGAGGAAGAAGAAAGGAGGGGAGGAGACGAGAGGAAGTATGAAGTAGCGGGGAGAAGGACACGAAAGAGCAAAGATAAAGATGAAGTAGCAGCAGAAAGAAGCGATGAAGACGAGCTGAAGGAGGAGGAGGAGGAGGAGAAGGAGAAGAAGAGAAAAGAGAAGGAGCAAACTAAGATGGGGGGAAACGTCAACAGAACTGAAAAGAAAACAATCTCTGATAAGCAGGGGGATGGATAGAAATCAGGGCAAACAAGAAAGACGAATGCACGCAGAAAAAATGGAAAATAAAAGAGGAAAGAAGAGAGAGAGAGAGAGGAGAGAGAGAGAGAGAGAGAGAGAGAGAGAGAGAGAGAGAGAGAGAGAGAGAGAGAGAGAGAGAGAGAGAGAGAGAGAGAGAGAGAAGAAGGGGGGAAAGGAAGAAGGCGATCCCACAATTAATTATAACCAGGCGTTGTTTATGGAACGGCGCCCGGTACTCGCTCGCCGCGTGTACAGTACCCTGGGTGCGCCCGAGGGTTCCCGAGGTAATAACCGGACTGCCGGGGATGGAATTGACTCGCGCTGTTGGCGTCGCGGACACGGGCGTGGGGTAGGAGGCGGGAGAGGTGAGCGCGAGGTGGGCGTGGGTGGGAGGGCGGCGGAGAGGTGGGCGTGGGGTGGGAGGGCGGGGAAGTGTGTGGTTATAACTCTGTAACGTGAGGGTATGTCGGAGCGCTGGGCGAGGTTGAGGTGGGCGTGGCTGGTAGGAGAGGGCGGGGCGAGGAAGGGTAGGTGGGCTGAACGTGAAGGTTGTAGAGGGCTAGAGGAGAGAAATGCAGTGGGTGGGGTAAGTAAGGGCGAGGGAAGAAGTGTGGAGAACCAGATTCGCGCGGTTAGTGATGGGCGGCGGATAGAGAGCTCGTGCGGGGGTGGAGGTGGGGAAGGGCGGGGAGAGGTGGACGTGGGGTGGAGGGGTGAGAAGTGTCATCGGTGGGCGTGAAAGTGGGAGGGCGGTGGAAAGGGTGGGCGTGGCGGGAACGTAGTAGTTGTGGGGGAAAGGGCCGGGGAGAGTGGCGCCGATCGAACAAAGGTGGCTGGATACATTTTTCGCTTTTCGAAAATGGACAGGGTGTTGTTGGGTAGGATGGCGGAGGTTTGACGGTGGGCGTGGGTTGCACTTGAGGGGGCGGGGGAATAGTGGGGCGTGAGGGTTGGGGAGGGCCTGAAGGATTGAGGGGGGCCATGGAGTGAGAAGTGTATAGAAGCTGTATGCTTGTGTGAGGAGATGTGAGTGTGTGGGTGAAATGTGGGCGTGAGTGTAGGTGAGGCGTAGACGGAATGTGGCGTTTGGATAGGAAGTAGGTAGGTATGGGTGTGTAAAGTATATATTTATTGTCGTGTGTAAATGTTTGTGTGTTTGAGGGGAGGGTGAACTCACCAGTAGTTGTAGTCGTCGGCCGTCATCGCATTTCACCACCATTCATCAACCACCACCACCACATCCACCACCACCACCCACCACCACCAACCCACCACACCAACCACCATCACTCAATTCATCATTCATCAATCCTATAATTAATACATCGATAGCATCATCAATTCATCATCAATCATCATCATTCAATCATCATCATCATCATTACATTTCATTTACATCTCTTGCAAATCATCACCATCAACCTTCCAGGGGATCATCCATCAATCACCACCCGATCATCATCACATCACCACTCACCATCACCACACCACCAAACCATCACTCATCAACCAATCACAAACATCACCAAACTACAATCAATTTATCATACATCACACAACTCATACATTATACAATCATACAACCACACAATCATCAATCACCGTCCCATCATCATAATAATCACTATCGGCACCCATAATTCATCAACAAAACGATCACCCACTCATCATTCATAAATCAACTACCACCAATCAATCATGCCGATTAAATATCACTAACCTCCTTATCATCATTCCCTCAGACGGACAATGTGGCCCACATCAATCATTATTATCATCAACCAACACAAACATAAATCAAATTAGGCCTCCAAATTCATCATCATTCATTTATGAATGACCCAATTCTCTAGGAACCTTCCCATCGCAGGAAGCAAAAGTCTTGGTTTGATCTTTTCGCTGGTTATCAGGGATCCCAATCCAGCGCATTTTTGCCCGGCCGGGAAATGTGAGCATGGTAACAAATCCCCTTTAAGGAACAAAATCCTTCCTCGCTGACGCTAGTCCGAAGAAAGAAAAGTGATGAATGTCTACCTAGGGCGCAGGTACAGGCAGGAAAAGAGAAAGGAGGAAAGCCGAAAGAGCGCGAACTAAGTTAGCAGTCGAGTGTGAAGAAGAGCAGGCGAGGGAGAGAGCGGTAAAGGGACCAGGGAAGGGCATGGAAGAGGAGAGAGGGGAAAGGGAGAGGGAATAAGTGGGAAAGGATTTCAGAGGGGAGGGAGAGGGCAAGGGAAAGGAGAAAGGAAATGGAAAGGAAAGGAAGGGAAGGACCGGAAAGGGTAGAGAGGGAGGCATGACATGTTGAACGTCCATACTGTCAACAATTATTATTACCTGGAACCATGCACGGGTTGCACCAGGCATGCTCCCCTCCTCCCCTCTCCCACCTTCCGGATCGTTGGGGATCCACACATCGGAATGTCGATTACGCGAGTCACACGGCACACGCACAAAAGCAGCACTTTCTAACTTGCACAACAAACACATATGCTAGCTTATACATAAACATACTTATACAACACGCACAAAACCTGCATTGCCTAGTACGTTCGTCTAAAATACGCTCCACGGTGTCCGGGAGACAGCACAGCACATTTGGTTCCTGTACCGGTACTGTAGATGTCTGGATATTGTTTTAGCCTTCTTTTGGATTTTTTTTGTAGATTTGTGTGTTCTCTGTGGTTGTATGATATGGGATATAGGACATGTATTACAAATGTATTTTTTTTGTCATCAGGTGTGTAATCATTCTTATGAATCAATACGCATCTGGGTTGTTATAGACTAATAATATAGATATATACATAGTATATAATAATAGTACTATATATATATATGCATGTGATGTGTGGCTCCGTGTGTATGTGTATGTTTGTATGTATGTATATAAATATTATGTATGCTTGTATGTTTATATGTATAGACAAGGAAATAGGAATGTGAATGAGTTTCAAGAAAAAGGAAAAGAGGAAACGAAGAAGGAGAAGGCGGAGGAAAAGATTACGTCATTCCGAGGAAGACATATTGTCCGAGCGTCAGATCGATTCTGGTCTGTGGGTTTAGTCTTTTTCTTCCTTGCTTTCGGGCCAGACAGGGAAGCAGACACGCGCGCACACAGGCAAGTCGGCGAGGAGACTGCAAAGGGAAGGAGAGCGGGAGCCGACGGCGAAGAAGATAATGAAAAAGGAGAGGAATAGAGATTCAGAGAGACAGACAAACAGACACGCACGCACTCACGCACACGCGCGCGCACACACACACGCACGCACGCACACAACGCACACACGACGCACACGCACACGCACACACATGCACACAATGCACACGCACACATGCACCACACACACAGGGAGAAGCATGAAAGGTGGGCGGAAGGGAGGGAATGTAGAAGAGTGAGAGTGAGAAAGTGAGTGAGAAGGGGAGAGAGACGGGGGGAAAAGGGAGGGAAAAAGATGAGGAAATAAAAAAAGATAAAGATAAATAGAAGGAGGGGCAATGGGAAACGAAGGGAGGAGAGTTTAGAAAGAGGGAAACCTCAAAGGAAGGGAGAGGAGGAGGGGTAAACAAATGCATAAATTGAATGGGATGGAATGAATGGTGAATTGAAGTGGGAGCGCCGTGGAGAAGAAAGATGAAATAAACACACTGCAAGCAACAACGCCCACAACCGACACCACGCAACGCACACGCACCACGCACAGCACCAGGCAATACACGCACACGCACACGCACATCGACGCACACACCACACGCCACTCGACACCACAACCCTACATCCACAGCACACCACCACGACCACACACACCACACTGCCACACACACACACACACCACACACACACCACACCACACAGACACAGCACATACCCAAACCACTAGGGGTATGATTCATGGCTAGAAAAACAGGAAATAATGGAGGAATCTGACGCCGAAAGAGCGGTTCCCGGCTGCAAGTTAATGGGCGCGGAGGCAGCGTGCGGCGAGGAGGGGGTGGGGAAGTGGTAAGCCAAGAGATAGGGACGAGCCAGTGAGACTGGGCTTCAGACGCCGCTCTGGTCTCGGCGACACAGTGTCGGGAAGTCTTTTTGACATAGAGTTTGAAGAAAACCAGGACCTTTTCGGGATTGTAGAGTTTTTTCTGCTTGCACATGTGAAGAAAATAAAAAAAGAAGCTAGTGCATATAGCTTTCCGGGTCTTGGATTAATTTAGGAACTGCAATAGGCCTTTAAGGTGAACACAGAGGTCAATAAAAGAATTGTCTTCGTTACAAGACCCCGCCTGTGAAAGTTCAAAATGGTGCTAGAAATTCCTAACATCACGCACGCACACCGAATGACATTTTCGGACTCTGATCCTCGTTCTTCGGGACTCACAGGGCGCGTCCTTCCGGCTGCCTGGGCAAATTCTTCGGAGGGGCGCTGTTAGCCTCCCCTTGCCCCCTTTCTCTCTCTCCCCACCCTCTCTGCTGCCCTCTCTCCTTCTTCAATCCTCATCTTCTCGGACCTTAAACCCCTCTCACTCTCCCTCTTCCTCCTCCCCCCCAAACCGTCTCTCTCTCTCCGGTCGTGCGCGTTCTTTCCTCTCTCCTCTCTCTCTCCTCTCATCTCTCCTCTCTCTCTCCTACCTCTTCGCTCTCCGTCGTTGCCTCTTCTCCTCTTCCTCTCCGGCCCCCTCTTCCAACCCCCCACCCCCCCTCGCCTACATCCCTTCTCGATGGCGCCGTAGGCTGCGGCAAATCCCCAGCGTAGATGCCACCACTTCTTTAATGTATGTGTCCCTAGTGGGGAGAAGCAGGACGTCCCACCCCCCCACTATCTTATACTCTCCTCGTTGGTAGGTCTGGCTGCACCCGCCCACCCCCACGGTCGCATAGTAAGTACCACCAGTACTTGACCGTTACCTCGAAGTATTGTGGTCTTGACATCGTCTAAACTTGCTTCGCAGGTTTTTTGTGTCCTTTCACTTCTCTGGGCTGAACTCGCGTACAGGCCCCACCGAGCAGGCAACGGCAACCGTAGCCCACCCGGGAGGAGCCCCCACGACTCCCCGCCGAGCCCCCGCGGTGGTAGCGAGCCCCACCCCGGTCTGCTTCGTACCGATGGCACAGCGATCCCAATTGCCATGAACGAAGTTCGTTCTTTGAGACACATACCTACAATGAAAAACATTGAAACCCCAATAGGCCTAATGAACATAGTTTCAGAGATATAGGTCACAAGACCGTTTCGTGGAGAGCAACACAGGTTAGTTTGACATGAACGGTCGGGATATGTTTAACAAATCAAACATTGTGGTTATGGGACAGGACTGGCCTGACCTATACATTAACCCATGGCAACATATTGAATACTCAAATGGTAAAATCAGTTATCATACACTCTGATTCCAGAATAAGGAACCCATTTTATAAGAAACCATCTTGCAGTCACTAAACATGACCGCTCCATTTATACAATGAAGAAAACAACCATAAATGCCATGGAAATGTATGAGGAAAGTAATAAGGTACAGAATTAGCCGTGTCCTTCATCTACGCCAGGTCACTCCATCAATGTCTACGGGCAACGGGCAGTTGAAGCTACTTTGCTGACAAATCTAAGAACACCAATGGCTTTCGTGGTTATGCCGGAGCGTGCCAGCACGAGTGGGCAGAGCGGTGTCACTTAAACCTCTCTCTACTCTCTCTCTCCCTCTCCCTCATCTCTTCCCCTCTCTCTCTCTTCCCTCCTCTTCTCTCTCCCTCTCTCTTCTCCCTACTCTCTCTCTCCCTCTTCTCTCTCTTCCCCTCTCTCTCTTCTCCCTCTCTCTCTCTCCCCTCTCTCTCCTCTCCCTCTCTCCCTCTCCTCCCTCTACTCCTCTCTCCCCTCTCTCTCTCCCCTCTCTCTCTTCCCCTCTCTCTATATACTATCTATCTACTCTCCATCTATCGTATTCTCTTCCCTACTCTCTGTCTTTCTCTCTTTCTCTCTTCCTCTCTCTTTCTCTCTTATCTCTCTTCTCTCTTCTCTCTTTCTCCCTCTTTCTTCTCTTTTTCCCTCCTCTCTCTCCTTCTCCGTCTCTCTCTCCTCTCTCTCCTCTCTCTCCCTCTCTCTCTCTCTCTCTCTCTCTCTCTCATCTCTCTCTCTCTCTCTCTCTCCTCTCTCTCTCTCCCTCTCCTTCTTCCCTCTCTCTTCCCTTCTCTCCTTCTCCCTCTCCCTCTCCCTCTCCTCTCTTCTCTCCCTCTCTTCTCCTCCCTCTTTCTCCCTTTCCCCCTCTCCTCTCCTTCCCCCCTCTCTCTCCGTGTCCCTTCTCTCCTCCTTCCCTCTCCCTCTCCCTCTCCCTATCTTCTTAATCTATCCACATCTATTTACCCTCCTTCATTCTTCACATCCTTCTTCTCTTCATTTTCTCCTCCTATTTCACGGCCTTCTTGTCAGACTCCACACACTCCCAAACCACCGCTCCCCTATCATGTCTTATTATCTGCACATTCTTTACACCGTAACACTGAAACCTCCTCTCTTGTTTTGCTTTTACTTCATCCGAATGACGCACACACCTATAATAATAATAAAATATTGTTACATAATAATGATAATAATGATAACCTCCGAAATCATTGGAAAATAATACATA